AATGGTGAAAAAAGTAAGGTTCTACATTTAGGCAAGAAAAACCAAATGTACAGGTATAGTATAGGGGGTACCTTGCTCAATAGTAGTAACTGTGAGAGGGATCTCGGAGTCCTAGTGGACAATCACTTAAATATGAGCCAGCAGTGTGCTGCAGCTGCCAAAAAAGCCAACACAGTGCTGGGCTGCATTAACAGAGGGAAAGAATCAAGATCACGTGAAGTATTAATACCACTTTACAATGCCTTAGTAAGGCCACACTAGGAATACTGCATCCAGTTTTGGTCACCACGATGTAAAAAAGATGCTGAGACTCTAGAAAGAGTACAGAGAAGAGCAACAAAGATGATTAGGGGACTGGAGGCTAAAACATATAAAGAATGGTTGCTGGAACTGGGTATGTCTAGTTTAACGAAGAGAAGGATGAGGGGTGACATGATAGCAGTGTTCCAATATCTCAGGGGCTGCCACAAAGAAGAGGGAGTCAAGCTATTCTCCAAGGCGCCTGAAGGCAGGACGAGAAGCAACGGGTGGAAACTGATCAAGGAGAGAAGCAACCTGGAACTAAGGAGAAACTTCCTGACAGTTAGAACAATTAACCAATGGAACAACCTGCCTCCAGAAGTGGTGAATGCTCCAACACTGGAAGTTTTTAAGAAGAAACTGGACAGCCGTTTGTCTGAAATGGTGTAGGGTTCCTGCCTGGGCAGGGGGTTTATTATTATTATTATTATTATTATTATTATTATTATTATTATTATTATTATTATTATTATTATTATTATTATTATTATTAAATCTTCTAGCACATTTTACTTTCATATGTTGAAATAAACTAATTTGTTTGAACAATCATATTTAGATTTAACCCCTATTGTTTTCCCTTCCCAAATTTCTTTTAGAAATTTCTGTGGGCCCAGAAATTTCTTTTGTACCCAGAAAGGTACAAAAGGAATACAGATTCAACAATCAAGTTTTCCCTTAGTTGAATTTTTTAATTCAATCAGATTAATGTTGCCACTCTAGAAGAAATTGCTTCTTTCTGTTCATCTATAAAATGTAATTCTTGCTTCACTGCATTGATAGGAACAAAATAAGTTTTGTGCTCCAGTTTTATGTTTATGGTGATAATTGATGTTTACTTGAGCAATACAATTGTAACACAGAGATAATGGAATCCATATTAGCATTTTTAACAACCCACAAGAGAGCTTTGTCTAGATACAGGAATTTTTGTCAGACTTAAATTTATATACTCCCTGACTCCCAATTCTCAATGATTCTTTAACATGTCCAGGTTAATATCTGACCCAGAAGTGATAAAATCCTCCCTCCTGCCCCCAAAATCAGACTGGTTCTACATTTTATGCTGATCCTATAATTCTGTTGCTGCAGACTATTATTTGAAACCAATTTTATGCTCAATTTCATTTGATTTACTTTCCACTGAGTTGTTGGAGACGAGAAAGAGAAAAGAAACTTCACAGAGATTAGAAGTTCAAACTGGAGAAAGGTTTGAGAACATGGATATGTCCCTTCTTATCCTAAAAGTAGGAATAACTGAATAAAAACCAGAATACTACAGGTTTTGGATTCCTTAGGAAGCAGCTAAAGATAAATTTACACAATTGAAATTGCGAGAGCAATTCTCAACAGTTTTATTGTGGGAAAACATAAACTCATTTTGTTACCTGCTAATTCACACAGCTCACTAAGCATAGCACTGGATTTGTGTTTTATAAACTCTTTTCCTAAGGAAAACATTTCTGTTCTCAACTCAATGCATCATTACTACGGGATGGAAGTCGCTTTTTCCCTTGGCTTCCCAACTTTTACACATGCAGGGCTGTGGGAGGGGATGAAGAATTGACTGAGGTTCTAAGGATTTGGTGGAATTGGGCCCACTTTAAGTAATGGGATATGTGGTTTCTAGTGAAGTCACTTGCCCTTCAGATTGTATTTGGTTCATAGTTGTGAGATTGCATAAATAAAAATCAGAGCCTACAATAAAAGCTACCATTTGTTTGTTTTCCTTCTTACAGCATCAGATGACCATGTCTGAAGCACTCTGTGAAAGAAAGAAAATAATCCTGTACTCTTTCATCCTTTTGAGACCAGATAAAAAATGACAACAAAGAAAAGAGAATACATTTTTTATATTTTAAAAGTAATAAAAGGCTAAATTTCAGATCCTCCTGAAGTTTGAGTCCAGATCAAATGAACTCCTTATTCCTCCCATTTTTAATGTGCGAATTTCCATCAAATGAACTTGGTAATTTTCCAATGTTCTTTGAAACATTATTTTTTGATTGGCTGTCTTTATTTTACCTGATGCTGAATTCCACAAGCAAGGAACTGTTCTGACTATATTGGCCATTAAAACTCTAATACAGACCATCTTTCTTGCTCTCACCAATCAGGTGCGGAAAATCTGCTGAAAAGACTTTGAAGTTTTTATAGGTCACAGTATGGTAATGTATATCACAGCTAATTAATTTGCACAATCACTTTGGACAAATTGTCTTGATAGCAAACATCAAAGAGGGGAAAGATCAAAAGGCCATTGCTAGGATTAAATTGATAGGAATTTTAAACATTTTCCACCAGTCTCCATTTTTTTTAAAAAAAAATTGCTATTAATTTAAGATCTATCAAAAATTTTAAAAGCTACAGAGGCATAGAAGAAATAGAAAAAAAAATAAACATGAAAGAAAAAGCGACTAACAAAAAAGCAAGGAAAAAAGATATTTATAATAATTTCCAATCTTTGCAGGTGTTGCAAACATAATTACTATCTTTACCTTCCCATATTACATATTATAGTTCTTCTCTTCCTGTAAACAATCTCTTTAATCAATAAATCCTGAAATCAGCAGTTCATTTTTATTCATTTTTAGCAAAAGTTCTATAAAGAGTTTCCAGTCTTTGAAAATAACTTTAAAGATACATAAACCCATGTTGAAACCAAACACTTATTGAGGTCTTTCAATTCAGCATATCTACAGTAATAAATGTGGAGGAAAACACAAGGTTTCATCTTCATTGTTAGCATATAACTTTGCATTACATTTTTAAAAATATTTAAAGTAAGGTCACTATTTATATTTCCAATCTAGATGAACAAATCATCATAGTGAATGAAATCTTAGCAGGTTCAAATTTAATCTTTCAGGCCTAGTCTTTATGATTGGACTTGATTGTCCTTGTGTTGTTCTTATTCCTATACAGAATATCACGTTTAATGACGACTTCAACCCAAGTAGCACCAGCTCAGCTGACTTGAGTGGCTTAGGGACAAGTGGCTTAGGATCAAAAACCCCAGGATTTTCACACTGTGTAGTCGTGTCTTCTGATGAGGTATCTTGTCTACATGTACTTAAAGAGCAGGAAATGAGTTTGGTGCTCCTTCTGAACTAGTTAATATGTAAATATTATTATTGCTTATGTAGTTGTTTAGATCTGCTGTTTATAATCATTAGCTTAATGGATATGTTAAGCTACTGATCATGAAATAAAATTTAAAATGTGTGCAGGAAAGAAAACAGCTGTTATTACCAAATGAGTTTTAAATCGAGGAACAAGGAGAACACAGATAGATAGAAAACAATGTATAATCTTTAAAATTGTAACCTAGTACATAAATTCAATGGGACATAATATAAAATTGAAAATGCATATTCACCTACCCATGTTTTACAGTTTAACATGCCTTCCAATCAGAAATTAGAACAAATTCATATTGAATCTTGAAAACTGATTTTAAAGAAGAGTCATTTATATTACTAAATTGAGATATAAATATAAAATGCTATATTGCATTTTAGTTAATTCTCCATTATCCTTAAAAATGTTTGTACATATGTACAAAAATGAGAAAGAAGATTCAATTGGCTCTGTACCAAAAATTCTATAACATTTTGCTTTTTAAAATAAATTGCTAATAGTATTTTCAATTATGAAATCTGTTGCAGCATCAGCTCTTAGACTTTCAGATCTAGAGGGCAGAAACCTAGAATACCACTAGATGGCAACAAAGTCTTAAACAGCTTCTGTGTCTCTTTGTTGACATCTAATGATCATCTGCTCATCTGCAGCCCAGATCTGCAAGCTTTATATGTAGGCACTTTTAAATTCCTTGAATTTCTGTAATGTTTTATTTTCTGTTGTTTTTAATGCTGAATTTCTCAGAGCTTGGATATGATTGATGATGAGGTGAGACAATAATAAACTATTTGTTATCATTATGTTGCATGGTGTATTGAGTTCATTTAATTAGTAGTATATACTATAGTATATCTTACTATAAGTAAAAGGTTGTACAAGGTATAGTAGGATGTGGTTCTCAGTATGGTAAATATTGCACAAAATTTGATCAGATGGAACCTTTGTCATTCCAGACTCTACAAAATCAGCATGTGATAGTTTTGATAGATAAAAATAATATGAGAAAATAAGTTTTAGTTCTAATATTAAAAGGATTTTTCCAAATGTTTGCTCCCTCCAAAGAATTAAGCAATTGAATGTTAGGTTAGACCTAGCATCCAACTAGTTGCTTTCCTATAGTCACATTTTTATAAATGATATATCTTGTCAATTTTGATATGATTTCACAATTAATTGGGAATTTTATTAAAATTATGTTGAAGATATGCTACTATCACCATGATCTGATGGTGTAGCTCTTGTGAACTTTGTACTGCAAAACGTTTTTGTTATAGATTCTTGATGATGGACAATCTCCCAGGCACAGCCAATTTCCAAATTGTGCTGTTTCAGAATGGAGTGTGCAGCAGGTTTCCAATTGGTTGAAGAGCCTGAATTTAGAACATTGTATTTCTGAATTTACAGCCCATAATATAAATGGAGAATGTCTCCTTCAGCTGGATGGCAGTAAACTCAAGGTAATTGCTTCTTTGTGTTGGAAAAGTAATTTAGAATTTTATTATGAAAATATGTAATGGAAAATGCAATTAAAATCTTGATATATAGAGATGATAAGGTATAGCAATAAGGTCTAATTGCTGAAAAATTAAATTACACAATTGAAGTGTTAGCCATTGAAATTATAAAAAATTCATTACCTCTGAAAACCATACCTAGATGCACAGTGCTATATATTAAAATTAATAAATTAATATTTATTGTTTAATTTGTTATTTTTCAGAATTCTTTTATTTTGAAAATTAATGGCCAGAGATACTGCACCTCTGGACTTCAAGTGTTATTATCATAAATTAATTTTGACTCATGTTACTGTAGGAGATGACCAGGCTGAGCCCGAGAGAGGGGTCAAATACGTCCTAAGTCAGTGGTGGCGAACCTATGGCACGGGTGCCAGAGGCGGCACTCAGAGCCCTCTCTGTGGGCATGCGCGCCGTCGCCCCAGTCCTAGGTCTTCAGCTGGGTTTTATAAAACCTTTTCGCTTTAGGCCTCGATTGCCATGTACAAAAAAAAAGGTTCAATCAATCAGTCAATTTAAACTTCTCGCGGGGAAAAAAAAGATCTTGCAAAGTTGGAATTGATTGATTGACCTTTTTAGTCCCACCAGTCTGTTGTTACCACCCCAGCCACACCCACCCAATGGACCACACCCACCCGATGATGCATAAGTGGGTTTTGGGTTGCAGTTTGGGCACTCGGTCTCTAAAAGGTTCACCATCACTGTCCTAAGTCATAGTCCCTGTGCTCCCACAAAAGATCTAGGTCCAGCCCACCTTGAATTCCTTTCTATCCTTAACTCCTACAAATTTCTCTTGACTGTTAGTAGATCAGATTTTTGTAGAAAGCTTGCAATATACTCCTTTAAACTACCTGTATCCCTTGTTTTCCCCAATGCTTGATAGTTGCGTTTTTGAGTGCATCTCTTGATACCATTAAATAAATGTTATTTATTACTAATTACTAAATCCTATTAATATACAACTGGTTCTAGATTTACAATTGGTTGTTTAAAGACTATTCAAAGTTATGATGGACCCAAAAAAAGATACAACCTGGATTCAAACTTCTGATGGCTCCTTCCTTTCATGGTTGTGTGATCAAATGCTCAGCAACTTGCCCATGTTTATGGCTATTTTTGTGCTATTCCGTGGTAATATAATCACAATTTATGACTTTTTTGCCAGAAACCAGTGTTTACTTCTGTTTTCTGACAAAAAAATGACCATTGCAGGCAATGGGTTCACTTGATAACCAATTCACCTAACAACTTCTGTCATAAAATTGAGTTGCTCACATGCTAATAACCTGTTTAACAATCAGCATGACTTATTACTGTAATTCCAGGCTTAGTTACAGCCATAAGTCAAGGACCATCTATAGTTCATTTCCTTTGGCGGTTTTGATTTTAGAAAACACAGTTATATATTCATCTATTTTAAAATGCTTTTATGCCATCTCTTACAGCAAAAGCCTTACCAAAGTAGCTTATTAGTACAGAAGGATTTTTTTTCCCTTGAAAACATGTATACCAGACAAATATGCATGCGCATATAGATGTACCTATAGCTATTACAGATTGAACTACACATATTTTGCTCTCTTACTACATGGCCTTTTGCTATCACATAATTCACTATTTACCACTACAACCAGCTTATCAGGTTACATCTTATCACATCAAGCATTGCATTTTTATTGCTCTGCAAAAAGACTCTGGCATATTGGAATGTCTGTCACTCATATTGAAGCTCCTAATTCTTTCGGAACTAGATGTGATCGTTCTTATAATTATAGTTTGCTGCCAACATTTTGACATCTGGCACATGCTCTCAGCCAAGAACCCAACAGGTTCCACTGAAAATCAAGTATTTGAAATCAGCTTTAGTAGCATTTGTACATTAGGTGATGCCAGCCAAACTAGGCAGCATTAATCTAATTGCTGAATAATGATTGAAAGGTTCCTTTATATGGGTGCATGTAAAAGGAAACTGGTTAAAGTTAAATTTTAAAGAACCACTCCTCACAGCATATTTATTGTTTTTATAAATAAATCAGCACTCCTAATACTCCTTCCTCTTTCTATTTTCCCCACAACAACCTTATGAAGTGACTGGGCCACAGTCACCCAGCTGGCTTTCATGCCTAAGGCAGGACTACAATCAGTGGTGGGATTCAAATATGTAAGCAACCGGTTCTCGGTGTGGATGCCACTTCCAGAAGTCCATTCTGGGCCTGAGCAACAAAAAATTAGCTACTGGTTCTGCCAAACTGGTGCGAACTGGCTGAATCCCACCATTGACTAAAATTCCCCATCTCCTGGTTTGTAGCCTGGCGCCTTAACTACTAGACCAAACTGGCTCTCATAATAGATCCTTTGATCTGGAGAAACTCAAATGTGAATCAAAATTGAATCAAGTGTTTATTCTTAATGCATATTTTCTCTGTTAAAGTATTAGTAATAGTAGTTTTGCTCACTAGATGAGTTGCTTTGATAGATCAAGAATATTAATATTTACTATTCTATTAAAGACCATACTGTCTTGTACATATCTAAATTATATTTTAAAGGACCTGTAATTTTGCGACACATTAAAATGTTTATCTTTTTTAAAATATTAGTTCCTTGGTATGACATCTTCCCGGGAGAGAGCTGTGATTAAAAAGAAAATCAAAGAAATGAAAGCAAATCTAGAAAAAGCCCGCAAAGCTCAAAAGAAGATGGAAAAGGAAAAGGAAAAACTTAAGAAGAAGGAAAATGATCAGTTTTAAAGGAAGTGCAGAAAGCTGTAAAAGCAATCAGCAGAATGAGCAATGAGACCCCAGAATGAACTGTGCTTTCTAAGAACATGAAGACAATTTCGGAAAAGCAACAGTGAACACTGTTTTCTTCAATAAAGAGATAGCTTTGCACCTGTATCTGAAGCTTTACTTAAGGGAAACAAATCATGAGTAGCTATAGTTTCCTGCCACTGTAGAAATGTGGATACTTGGGATACTGTATATTCAGCAATTCATTATTTTTTAATGATTCAGCAACCCAGGATGGGATGTTACTAAAAATCTTTCACCTATCTATGCTGCCTTGGCATATCTATCCTCATTTGCATTGGGCCTCCTTCTTTGTCATCAGACACGGAATGATGTAACTTTTACACTGTGTATTAAAATGCCCCGGAATCAGGCCAGTGTTAAAAGATTCAATGGGCCTGCAAAGGTGAATAACCAGAGGTAAAATGTATATTAGTGACTACACATGGATAACAACGCCCATCAAAATTTCAATCTTTTCCTCTGCAAATGGGCTTCGTTTCACATCCGTGCTCAAGAGAGGATCCTGCTTCATCCCAGCATAGTGTGGTTTCAGGATCTGAAATGATACTGAAATAGCAGGTGCAGCCGAGTTCAGGCATCCTCTTTCAATGGGGGAAGGCAGTCATTTTCCTATCAGCATCCCACATTTCTCCCCTCCCAGGAACTAAAGAACAATGAAAGCAAGGCCTTAATGTGCTGTTTGACACTAGAGAGTAACATTTATTCTCTGAATTTATATGTACAGTTGGATTTCTAAATCTAAGTTGGTTTGTAATAAAATGCAATTTTTCAATGTTTTCCTTGAGGAAGGTATTTAATTACACTTTCCAGTAGCATGCTACCCTTTACTTTTTCCCCTTAAAAGAGCTAACATTTCTTTGAGCAACAAGATGATCCACTTTTTGTCTTTCCTTAAACAAGAAGCAGAAGTTGATTATATTCCTTGGCAGAGCTGAGGTTTCACCTGCTGAAATTGACTTTCAAAGTCACTTTGAAATATGTTTTCTTTTTTCTACAGAAAAGAAATTTTGCCATTTAAAAAGCAATGTGTTTTATAAACTGCCAAATCATAAAATATTGCCAACTGTCCTATGATAAAATACTGAATAAAAAAGCTATAGCTATAAAAATGCATTTTGGATGTTTTCCCCATAAGCAGAATAACCAGGTAGAATTGAAAACTCAGGCTTAAATAGGTGGGTCAAGGAATATTCTAGTTGGCTTAAGAAGAATTATATTTTTTAAGAATTGAGGGGATGATTCAGGTGAAAGTAAGCTTTTAAAAAATGTGTTATTTCATTGGACAGATTTAAGCATGCACTCAACTTATCCCTCCTTTAAAATCAATGGGATTTTAAAAATATTTTTTCTTTCAGTTGCAACCATTAATATTTTGCCAAATTATAAACTATAATATCAGTTTCCCTTTTAATTGATTCTAACTGAGTTTAGCATAGGGTTTTCTTTTGGTGATACTATATTACATAGAACTATGAACTGAAACTGTTTTGGAAACAGATAGCTGGCTTTAAAGTATGACCACTTAAAAGAAGTTTGTTGTTATCATTTAGCTAGCATTCAGATTTTATTTAAGGCCTACCTTGACTTAATTCTGGAATTTTTACAAAAGAATTTCTTAACTAAAGGAGCTCAATTTTCCATTTCAGTCTCAGTAGCTTTGTTATATGCCTGTTCTGCATGCAATGTTCTGTATGCCACATGCATTTTATAATTGTCAGGATTTTCATTCCTCTCCAATCCTATTCAGTAATTCTATGTTTGTATTGCAATATTCAGGTTGAAACCTGCAGCTATAATTACAAAACCCTGCCAGCATATCTGATAACTTGAAGGTCCTAATGCTTTTTTTTTGTGCCAGAAAGGACCAAGACTACAAAAGAAAAAAAAACCCCATCAAATGGAAGACACTTGTCTTGGAGGACATAGATTGAACAAAAAAACCTCTGAGAATGGTCAAATTCCATTGTTTGTTTATTGTAGAGGTTAAATGCTGTGTTTGAGCAAAAGAAGGGTATCTGAAAAACAACTTACATTTATCTCTGAAGTTAGTAATTGAATTAAATGCAGTTCTTCTGTTTTTGTAAGGTTTATAGACTGGTAATTTAAGATGGATGTATATTTCAGTAACATCTGAGGACATGTTCCTCTCCTTTATATAATTTATGTTCTTTATTTTGTGTTCCTAAAATTTCTGAGGACTATATATTGCTCTGTAAAATTATTTTACATTCCTTCTGTGTAAATTGTATGATGTTGAAGATAACTAATTTGATGTATGTTTTGCACTTATCCCCTTATTTTGTTTTATGTTTTGGGATAATTTTAGACCTAAGCATTGAATTTTTAAATTTTTTAAGGTAAAAGTAATTATTTATACATAAGAAAGAAATATATAAAATTAACATTTCTGTTGAGTAAATAAAAGATACATGAATTGCCATAGTAAAGGTGAGCCTGGCTGATCATATCTGCCTAACAACAAACTATTCTCTCTTACAAGTATACATTGTGGAAGACCTGCATTTCTTTAACTAGTGCTTGTTAGACAACCATTAAAGGAACCATTAGACAGTCATTAAATTATTCTAGATGTTGGCAGAATCTAGTGAACAGATATTTGAACAGGAGAAGGACTGCTACTTCAGAATGTAAGCTTTCAATGACCACTAAATTGCAGGGAAAAAAGTTGTAATATATCTTTGCTGACATGTATTGATTATCTGGATTGTTGCAGGATAACAGATAAATAAATGAATAAATAGATTTATTGATTATCTGGATTGTTATAGCTTTTAATGGGAAGCAAGAACAAGTCTTTCTTCCTTCTCTTGTTAAGTCAGAAACTGAAAATCATTCTAAAACTGATCAAATAATTATTTGGTTAGCTGACTGACTGCCTTTTCCTGGTCACATCTACTGATCCACCAGAGTGAGCAGGCAGGGTGTGTTGCGTGCCCCCTGTCCTAAGAAGGTATATCTGGGGGGATCCAGAAGAAGAGCCATCTCCATGGTGGCTCTCTCCCTTTGGAACATCATTCCTGCAGAGATTCGATTGACCTCCACTTTGACACTCTTTCACAAGGCCCTGAAGACCCTGGTTTTGCCAATGGGCCTGGGGAACTGAGAGTGGGATGGAGCCCATCAAGTGGCTTGTCTGATTGGTTGTGGTGGGGGGAGTTATTGGTTTTTATTGTTGGTATATTAGGTGTTTATTTTTGTAAGCTGCCCAAAGTCATTGACCGTGAAGGGGCAGCTATGCAAATTTTCTTATATAAATAAAATAAATGTACCCACAAACCAGGCTGTATCCAAACTACTAGAAAAATAGTAATTTGAGATTACTTGAAAGAATTAAAATCAAAAGAAGATTAGCAATCCTTGCCCTGAAAATTGAGGTCCTTCTCCATTCCTTTCTTATACAGGATTCATCTCTAATGTGATGATTCAAGAGCTTCTAAACCTTCACTTTTGTAGTGGGAACATTTTTGTATTTTGGTTGTTGTGTAAACCATCTGGAGGCTCCCAATATCTATATAGTAAACTTTTAATGATACAAGTCTGACTCAAAAAGGGGCCAGGGAATCCTAAAAGACATGTAAGAATTCACCAAAGCCTATAGGTAGTCCAGTTAAAATATCTGGAAGGATAATTACTTGCAAAACAATCCTGTGTACTGGTACTCTTTGATGTGTGTCTTTCCCTTTTTGGAGTATAAGCTTTGTTGCTTTTCACTTATATTGCATCTTTCCTGATTTAAGGAAGAAATTGTTGAGAAATAAAAAAAAAACCTCTGATGCTAATCTTCATTAAGCTAGTCTCAGCAGTTGGTTAAAACAGTTGTGAAACTTAAAATCCAAAAATACTCCTTGAATTACTATTTAACTTTTAAAGCTTAACTTTTTGTCCAAAGGCATTGGTTGACATTTTGCAAATTATTCAACTTAAAGGGTAGAGGAAAACTCTTTAGCAAGGATATGTTATTTACAAAGATACAGAGTGGCCTCTGTCTTACTGTCTAGCACAGGGGTAGGCAACCTTGGCTCTTTTATGACTCGTGGACTTCAACTCCCAGAATTTCTGAGCCAGCATAGCTGGCTCAGGAATTCTGGGAATTGAAATCCACGAGTCATAAAAGAGCCAAGGTTGCCTATCCCTGGTCTAGCACTTGCACTTTGACTCACTCACAGGAATTGGTCCTTGGCATAAAAATAACTAGTCAGAGAGCTTACTGCACTATTAGCCTGCTAAGACAGTAACAGATAGCAGCAGTTTCCAGGGTGCTGTCAAACAGGCATCTGAGTAAAGAACGGTTTGCACTGCTAGCAGTTAAGGTTTTGAAACTTCTCTGCCAATGGCCCATTCAAGAAACTACTTTCATTATAATGTTCTTAATCAAGGGAAGATACTTACTCATTTATATATCTTTACACAGGAGTCCACTTGGGTGTGAACAATTAATCATATATACAACCCACCAAACCTCAAAAGTTGCTTTTAGCCAGGAGGCACAGAATGAATTCCTGTGAATTAATAAATGAAGCTGTCTGTTATAAATTTAATAATGTGGGTTCTTAGATTTTAAGAAAATTCCTGAAGTTACATTTGTTAATGTTTCTTTTGATATCTTTAATATCAACCAGTATTTTATGTTGCTAAATCGTACTTGGTTAATGGCTGTTTTTTATTTTATTGTACTTGTGTGACACTGGAACAATATCTATTTGGACATCTGTGAAATAGTCTGAAAAGGAGCTGTCCAATAGTGTCTTAGACATAAGAAGTGACATTCTTATACTGGAAGACACTTTTGTGAATGTAAATTATGCAATACATGTAACTTATTAATCATTGAAATTTATTTATTTTTATTGTTAATTACTGCTTCTTTCACCTGAACTTTTGGAAAAGAAACTCTACCAACACTATTATGCAATAACCAATTATTCCAATAAACTTGCTATCCTTATCATTTATAT